TGTAAATTACCTTCAGCCCTAGGTAGCCACAAGGGAATTCCTCTCCACCCCAGGTACCACAATGTGCTGATGCTCAGGTCCCTCATATAAAATGGGTAGCATCAGCATATGACGTAGGTACAGGCATCAGCATAGGACGTAGGCACAGGCATCAGCATAGGACATAGGTACAGGCATCAGCATTACAGGCATCAGCATAGGACGTAGGTACAGGCATCAGCATAGGACGTAGGTACAGGCATCAGCATAGGACATAGGTACAGGCATCAGCATAAGACGTAGGTACAGGCATCAGCATAGGAAGTAGGCACAGGCATCAGCATAGGACATAGGTACAGACATCAGCATTACAGGCATCAGCATAGGACGTAGGTACAGGCATCAGCATAGGACGTAGGCACAGGCATCAGCATAGGACGTAGGTACAGGCATCAGCATAGGACGTAGGTACAGGCATCAGCATTACAGGCATCAGCATAGGACGTAGGTACAGGCATCAGCATAGGACATAGGTACAGGCATCAGCATAGGACGTAGGCACAGGCATCAGCATATGACGTAGGCACATCTCTCCTATTCTTAGTCGTCACTAGGTGACTTACGAAAGACACTTGGTAGAATACTAGTGCTGTGGACAGGTAAGAGAATCTGAGTTCAAGGCCAGTCTGGTCTATATGGGGTTGGGGGTTGTTTTGAATATTTCTGCTCCTGGGTTGACTGAACCCATACTTGCAGTTCTGATAAGGATGCTGATAGTTCGCTATCACACTTTTTAGTTAACTCTTTTATTTGTACCAAAAGAAGAGGAAGAGGAGGAAGAAGAGAAGGCGGTTGGGAAACTTTCCGTAGTAGGTACAAGTACTGTGGCAGTTAGATATGCACACAATGTCTTCATCCAGACGTGGTGGTGCGTGCCTTTAAGCCCAGCACTCAGAGAACTCTGAGTTGGAGGCCAGTCTGGTCTATATTGTGAGTTTCAGAACGATGGTACATAGACCCTGTTTCAAAACAACACCAAAAAGGAAAAAAAAAATAAATGTCTTCCGTGGCATTTACTGTGATGATACTTTTTCTCAATTTCAAATTATTTCTGAGAACTCAACTAACTTTCCATTTTACATTCATTATTTACCCCAAACGCTTATGTTTTTGTTTAACTGTATCAAAGATGCTTTATTGGACTTTAAAGCATGTTTGCAGGACCTGGGCTGTAGCTCAGTAATGGAATGCAGCCTTGCGTTGTTTAGTCCTCAGTATTCCTGCCCTCCTCCCCAGATGAGTTCTTCTGTGTTACTTTAGAATTTACTGCTAGCATACGACAAGACCCCGATTTTATGGTTGTCTGTGAGTGGAACTGAGTGGAAATACTATTTTGGCTACTGCTCTTCTTTAACATCCTTGCTTCTCCATAGTGGCTGGCTTTGAAATTCCCCAAAATTGCAATATACGTGGATACCTGCAGGGAGTGTTACGAAGCGTATGTCATCTATAACTTTATGATATTCCTTACCAACTATTTGACAATCCGATTTCCCAACTTGATGCTACACCTAGAAGCTAAAGATCAGCAAAACCACCTTCCTCCCTTATGCTGCTGTCCACCATGGGCTATGGGAGAGTAAGTATGGTTGGCTTTACAGAAGCAGGGTTGTTAAATATCAGTCGGCTCTCTGCTCCACACTGCTGCGAGCAGGGCACAAACAACAGGCAGAGCCCTTACCCTGTTTAGCATGTAGCACAGTTTGAGAGATAACAAAATACCTTTTTATAATGCACGTGTTAGGAGGGTTTTTTGTTTTTATTTTTACACTGCTCACTCAATGAAATGTTTATCAGTATATGCAGAAGAAACCCTTAGAAGATATTTATTTATCATCTTTTTTTATACTCGGGAATTGGCACCTACAGCTCTTGTATGTGATCCACTGCTAGCTACTTAAATGAAGTTGATTAGGTGGGAAGACAATATATGACAGGAAACAAAAGCAATTAAAAGCTGTGTTCTATTCCTGTGTGACAGTAAAGGAAGGTGAGTAAGCCTGTGTCACTTACTAAAAGGCTGGAGGGATGGCTCTGGGTTTAAGAGCACTTGTTGCTTTTGCAAGGACCCAGGTTAGGTAACCAGCACCTGAGTAGTGACCCTTAGCCATTCCAGCCATCCGTAACCCCAGTTCCAGGGAACCCAATGGGCACACGTCTGGAATGCACACACAGACACACACACATGCGGGCAGAGCATTCATACACAAATTAAATAAGCCTTTAAAAAAAAAAAAAGTGGGTCTGGGAGATAGCTCAGTGGTTAAGAGCATTCACTGGCTGCTCTTCCAGAGATCCTGAGTTCAACTCCCAGCAACCACATGGTGGCTCACAACCATCTATTATGGGATCTGATGCCCTCTTCTAGTGTGTCTGACAGCTACAATATACTCATATAAATAAAATAAATAAATCTTTTAAAAATGTTTCTTTTTAAAAAGTGGGTTTTTTTGGTTGGTTGGTTGGTTGGTTGGTTGGTTGGTTGGTTGGTTTTTCTTTTTGTATTTTTGAGGCAGTGTAACATTGGCTGTCCTGGAGTCACTCTGTAGACCAGGCTAGCTTCCAACTCCCAGTGATCCACCTACTTTTCCTCCTGAGTGCTGGGATTAAAAGTGTGGGCCACTAAAAGTTTTTAAAACACAGTTCTTAAAGTAAAAGGTTAAGATTGTATGTTCTACACAAAGAACTTGAGTTACTCACCTCACTGCTGTGACAAAAACTGCCAGAAGCCACTTAAGAATCCCAGGGTTAGTATTGGTTCACAGTTGAAGGGTGCACTCATCATGGTGAGAAAGGCACCTAGCAGCACATCTGCTGTCAAGCAGAGAGAGCTGAATAGTGCCGTCCACACGCAGCGTGGCCTCCCTTGTCCTGTTAACTTTCTGTAAACCCATTCACAAGGAAACTGCATCGCACACGTAAGTGCACACGCACGAGTGCACGGTTGACACAGCTGAGTGGTGCCTCAGTTTTGCTCCCGCAGCTTTGTTAGGCAGCTTCTGTCACTGGCAGAGTTCCTGCCATGATCGGCTGTATTTGGCTCACAAATTTGGATCACTTGGGCCTGTTGATTTGAGGTGATCCTGGCAGGAGTAGGAGGCAAGAAAAGACTAAGGGCCCAATGCCTTCCATCTTGTTCTGTTGCACTGTAGTGGAGCTGGGGGAGGGGGTGTCTTTCAGAGACAAAGTTATTAAATAATTTCAAATGGGCTTCAGGCTCCCTTGTTGCCATCGTCTTCTTACCCTCCTACCTTTTAGAATAAAGTTGGCAGAATTCAATACAGTTGATGTCACTTGTCACAGGGATTAGTACCCTGCTGCCAAGGAGTAGCTAAGCTACCGTGTTCTCTTGCCTTTGCAGAATGCTGCTCTTTAGGTGCAAGCTAGGAGTGCTGCAGTACACCGTGGTACGGCTCATCACCACTGCCACTGCATTGTAAGTAGGACTTGCCTTTACTGTTTTTTTCTTTTTTGTCTTCATACTAGATGCCTGGGGATATGGCTCAATTAATAGTGTTTGCCTTGTATGCACAAAGCCCTGTATTTAATCCCCAGCACCACAGAAACCAAGTTCATGGCAAATAATCGTAGCACTTCGAAGGTAGAGGCAGGAGAATTGAGAGTATAAGGCTGGTCTGGGCTGTGTCTTTAAGAACCTATGCTCTTATATGGGAAAAACAAGTAGAAAAAGAGTTGATTAACAGTGAAAGTCTGGTCTGCTATAAAACCACGTGTTTAAGAGCTGGATTCCATTATAGTGAACAGTGCAAAAAATTATAAGATTCATACCCATTGAGAGCATGTTGGCCGGGCAGTGGTGGCGTACATCTTTGATCGCAGCACTTGGGAGGCAGAGGCAGGTAGATTTCTGAGTTCAAGGCCAGCCTGGTCTACAGGGTGAGTTCCAGGACAGCCAGGGCTACACAGAGAAACCCTGTCTTGAAAAACCAAAAGAGAGAGAGAGAGAGAGAGAGAGAGAGAGAGAGAGAGAGAGAGAGA